ATCAATATAAAACATAAAATAAATAAATGTATATTCTCTTCGTCGTAGAACGGTTATTAATTTTCAACGAGTATTTCCTTATAAAAGAGATCAGACTACTTTTTACTTATAACATCTATGAAACGGTGAAGCAGATCGATTGTGTTCTCCAGCATAAAATGCAGTTCTCTTACTCGGCAGACGCTGTCTGATCAAGTCTCGTAGTTTTATACGCGGTCGATTTTGCCGAGCCAGCTGCGTTCATTATATTGAAGTCGTAATCCGCGACACTCGTCGATCCAGCACTTTTCTCCGGCGTGCTAGACAGTGACAGCACGCGACCGCAATTTCTCGGAGTGTCAACGACGACGGCATGCTGGGTCCGATAGGCCTTTCTCCGTTCCCTCCCTCTGTCTCTCTCTCTCTCTCTCTCAATCTCCCACTCTCCTACTCTCTCTCTCTTTCTCTCTATCTGTCTCTCTTCTTCTCTAGCCGCGTCTTTGTCATCTTTCTCCGTTTCGTTACTCAAGCGCGCGAGCTACTATTACTTAAGACCGCTGGCTGGTTGCGTCGCACATAATAGTTACACTTGCACTTTCGGCTTGCCGCGGCATCAAGCAGTGCTGGATGCAGAAAACTTTAGCAAAGCGAGAACAACGGGGTATTACTTTTGTCTGACTATTGTACTATTGTCTGCATCTACCCTGTAATTCGCGCGTGTAAAGTCAAACGTACGTGTGTATTCTTTCGTAAATAATAGCGAAGAGAATAACATTTCTTTCGTAAATGACAGGGAAGAGAAATTTATCAAATCGATCGTTATTCTTTAGCGGCAGTCCGGTAACTTGAGCCGACGATATTTGACGTACACTCAATGATATTTATACTATACATTTGGACCACATTTAGCGTTCTAAATGAGACAGGAAAATTATTATTTTATTGAAAATCAAAAGTATGCGCTGAAAACAATATTATCTTTTATTGATCATATAAGTGATTTTACGAACGCGATAAAAAAAATTTTTGTTTTAACAAATTGGACAGAATATATATTTCTGACTTTTATCATTTTAAATATATTTTTAAATTTAGCTGTTGAATCATACCGATACGTGTAAAGATTGCTAGAAAAACTTGAAAACTTCTGGATGAATAAGAATCTCTTATTATAATACATATGTGCGCTCATATATTTATAAATAAGAAATTCTTATCGAGGAACCGACGGATGCTCATATCAATAACATTAGCAAAAGGCACTTACAATCATTTTGTTACAGTTTGATCAATACTTAGGACATTATATCATTAATCCATAAATATAGTTTCAAATTTTTTTAATATTTTGTTTTTTTAACTTATCTCGTAACAACATCCATACTTCTAAATGTTTAGAAAGAGAAAATATTGTAATTATATCATACAAAGAATTCTCCGCAAAATTAACAGTTTAGCGATCGTAATACTTTTCATTGACATCGTTCAATGTCTCTCGGCTCGCGATCGACGTCGAATAAAATGTTTAACAAAGAATGAAGAATCGTTTCTTCCTCATTCGAACGACTCAATTGGAGCGGAATAACAAGATAGGGGCTGGGTCCTCTGGATCCGTCACTGGCTTCCACGCTTGAGCCATGTTCGTTAACTTTCCTACGGTGCCGTTTAACGCGGCCGAGTCTACGAGTATCAACGACGACGATCCGAGCTTGAAGTCACTTTCACGACCGGCGTCCGTAAGATTGGACGCGTTCCAGTAGCCGCGGCTACTAATGTCGTCGACGACGAAGACGACATCGTCATCTTCGTCGTCGTCGTCGTTGTATCACGTCCCGATTTAACCCTTCGCGACACGCGCTTTCGGCTGCGTTACGCGAACGCATTATACCGCCCCGCGATTATCGTAAAAAATCATTATGCAACCATAGCAGATAGCGTCCCCGCCGTTTATTTGCGCAAGTAGATAAAGTCGTGGCAACTTCTCGTCGCGCTGTGTGCCGCGACGCAACGTCACACCGTTCCCGCTAAGAACACAGCCGTTGTACTCCCTCGCGGACTTCTGTAATACGCGAAGAGAAAAATAAATTTTTGCCGACTGATGGCAGGTATCGGTCCATCAGGTCGCCCGACGGTTTACGGGAAATAGATTTTTATGGGCTGTGAGATAACATCGAACAGTCATTAATTCGGATTGTCGTTACTCCGCGATAGTATCTTGGGCCGTAAATAGACGCAGACAGGTGCGGCTTCTTTAAATAAAGATGCTGACCTACAGTATATTGGCTCTTTAGAGCGGGACGACGCGACGCCGACGCGGTCTCGTGCGAGGAAAATGAATGAACTTGTGAGTTTATTCGCGCCTCTCCTCCCGCTCTTTTTGCACCTATAATTTTTCGGTTCGATCTCAAAGATCTCACGAAGATATACTCGGGCACTAAAGTGGTCCAGTGGACGCGTGATTACGCGATACATCGAGCGAAATCGGAAGAGGTTGCGTCGCCGTAACGAAAGGAAAATCTGAAGCATTACACACGACGCGTTTAAAGCAAAGACAAGTGTGGCGTAAAAAAGAAGAAGTACGTATAGTAAGACGTCCGTGAAATGTACTTGAAGCAGGCATAGGCGAGATTCCTGTCGCTCCCAACTGGAAATGGTTTGAAAACGATTGCGCGAGATCCCCAATGTTAATAGGATGTTAATAGGTAGACGAGAAGAAACGCGCTCGCCCCCATCTCTCTCTTTCTCTCTTTCTCTCTCTCTCCCTCCCTCTGCCTTTCTTTTTCTTCCTTGCGATTAGATTAAATGACGATTTCAGGTAGTCAGACACGGGCTGGACGGCACACGGCTTGCGCAGGTGCGACCGATTCCTTGCGTAACGCATATGGCAGACACGCACACGATCCCGGCCTCCGCGGCCCGTTTTCTGTGCCGCGCGCGCGACTCCGTTATAATGTATACAGTTTTCGCAACGTAATCCCGAGGTATTTCGCTTGCTCGGCGCGTTTTCGGCTTTTCGTTTTGCAAGCGGGCAAAACATCTAGCGCGATCGCTCGCAGGAGGGCTGTGATCGCGACCTCCATTCCATTCGGCCCGTACCGTCTTCGATCTCCGTGCCGCGCGCGGCAACTCCCCCAGGAAATCTCCCGCGCGCGGCACGGATTTCGCACGCGATTCCGCACGTGATTCAATCGGAGCACGATCGATCGATCGGCCGGCCACATCGTGGATTCGTTATCGGAACCGTTATTTGCGACACGAATGCGCGACGCTCGATCAGTTCCGAGCGGAAGTCTTGGAATCGCTTATCTAATCATGGCTAAAGCGAATATCAGTAATTGAGAAAAAGTCTGAGAATCACTTTATTAGATATCGATATCTTCCACGTTGGTTCGATTGCGGATAAAGCGCTATTGGCGATAGATCTGCAAATAGATTAGCACGCAAAAAATTCCATCGAGTTTTTTTTCATCACAGCGAAATTCGACAGCTCAGGTTATCGAACTTCTCTTAATGGCCGTTCGGCTACGGCTATTCGTTAACATAATTAATTTTACTCTCCGCCCCGAAGCGTAGAAATCGATATATTGGCACTTTCTTTATGCGAAATATTTTGTAACATTCATAGCGTTTTCAATTTTTAACATATAAAGAACTTACGTTATGTAGAAGTTATGTAGAAGAATTCGAAGATGTTATGAATCCCATCAAGATTTTAACGCGAGTATTATTGCCATTTGCGAATATTATTACGGTCCATTGAGCTAAACTATTAGCGTCAATTTTTTCTCGATGAGTATTTTTTTTTCAATTTTCTACTACCTTAAAAAAAATTAAACAGTTTGTTGTTTTTTCTTATTTTGACAGCGAACAAGCTGACGTGTAACAAGTAAAGCGATCAATATTACAGCCTCGAGCAAGTGGGACACGTGGAACAATCGTCCACCGTTAATTTTGAATTATTAACTAGTAATAAAGTCATTAATTTTCATTTTTTGATAATTTCCATTTCTGATTAAAAAAAAAAACTTTCACTATTGTTTCTTTGCCTCGTTTAGTCGACGAATTCGAATCGAATGGAGGAGGCAGGCTCGGGGAAGAGTGAGCAGATTTGCGCGTTCGCAAGAGCCGTATACTCGTCCTCCCCGGAGCTGCCGAGCTGCGAGTGAAATTCAATTCGCGTGTACGGCGTATGTTGTACGTACCAGAATGGTTCAAGGCCGCGTCGCCGATTCATGGTCGACTTGGCGAATTGCGCGACGGCATTGCCCGATCGTGCCGTGCGACCGCTTTCGAATGAAAAATTCGGTGGCTGTAACACGTAAGCCGTACAATGGACGCGAAGAACTCGAATCCCGATGAGCTTAGATGGCAAGCTTGGTCCGGGGCTCCAAACGCAACAATCTCGACGGGATTTCGAAGAGACTCTTTGTGTCGCTCTTGAATCATTGAAGAGTGTCAACAGTGACACTAAATTGCCAAGCCAAAGATCGTATTTTTCTTTTGTATATACGGATTTCGCAAGATCTCAGACTCTCAACCGGACATTTTCATTCACACAATTCTAAAACGTTTTTTGATCCTTTCTTTGACTCTTTTGTTCCCCGCGACGAATCTCTTCGCGACATAGAACGCGATCGTAAAATCAAGATTCAAGTTTGCTTACTAAATTTCTTGCTAAACACAAACGTTTAAGCGAGAAGAAGTTTCCAAAGAACGCCGCGCTGGCGATTTCAGATTCTCGCCGGTTCTCGTCGGTTCTCGCGGATTCACGTGCATAGCTCTATTAGATTAGATTAGATTAGATTAATGATTCCAATTATAGTATTTCGTACAATTGAAAGCGATGGTATATCTCGTTTTTCCACTGGGATATGACATTTATATTATTATATGTCATCAGAAGACCGCGGTGCATGTTTCGAAACAAAGTGTACGGCACGTCACGAATCTCACGATTGCGATTGTATTTTGTATATAGGAACCGTTGGATGTCTCCGAAAAAAATCTTTTTTTCGTTTCAGGAGGAGAGAAGGCGATCGCCTGAGAGGGTGGGTGGTAGACTTCGCTCCGAATTTCCGTCCAAAGTAGATCTGAGGGCAGCTGACACGGCAACATGTCGATCATAATGCAGTATATAGACCGGTTCCACGACATGCTGGACAAACACGCAGGTGATTATTAACGGCGGACAAAGTGCGCGGGACGGCCGAGGGAGGAGTACTTCGTGGAATCCATGTAGTCTCGGAAAATAATTTAGATTTGTTCGATAAATGGCAGTGAAAACTCAACTGTTTTACAGTATGTCAGTATACCCACTGACATCATCGTTACATGTTATAATCGACGATTACGTAGCTGCGCGATAATTTCGAGAGTTGGATGCCGCGATATTAGAGTCCTTCGGATTTACATAATTGACGCATGGGAGAGAACGATGTAAATAGTGGGCGGTGATATCGTTGTCGAGCATTATTTCCCTCTCTCGCTTAACAGTTTTTAGATAACTCCGAGCGCGCGCCTCATTGGTATTTATTCCGTCTATGTTTCTATAACCTATTATTAATTTTTTATATATAAGCTATCTAGACTTTATAGTTGTTTCCGAGAAAAATTATGCGCGCCAAGGTTTCTCGATGCATAAATTCTCGTTTGTTCCCCAAGTTCAGGGCTTTTATCTCGAAAAATTCGAACGATATTTACGCATTGCGCGGTTCGAGTTTGATAAGCGCATATATCGAACGTTCGAAAATAAGTCACGGAAAACGAAACCTCTTCCTACGGATATTTACTTTTTATTTATGTCCTGTATAACAAATGTCAAAATATGTGCATGGTAGTTTGTCAATGTCACTTTATCGCGTCGCTGCCGGGCGATTGTCGCGTTGCGCGAAGTGGAGCGGGCGATTGTCAGAGGACTTGTCAGTTTCCTTGAGACCGTCACTGTCCCACTTCGAGCGCAGTAACGAAATGTCACTTTGATAATCGCGGCGTCGGGTCGTGCGAGTAAAGTGGAGTAATTCTTTATTCCGTACGGACGGCCGGCCGGCCGTGTCGTGCCGTCGCGTTTGTCGCAACGCGGGCGCCTCTTTTCGCAATTCGCCGACGAGAGGAATCCGATGCCCGACGACTTTGCACCGCGATTAACGATCTGATCGTTTTATCTCTCTGTCGTTTGTTCGGTCAATGAGAATCGCTCTGCGTTTATATCGATACGTCAATTAACATCCCGCCGTGATTAGCGTGGAAAAACCATGCGGTACGGCGCGTGTAAGCCGGGATATAAAAGTGCTTCGTTAGCGTCATTAACGTCTCGCGAGCGCTCGATTATTCATTCCGCCGGTGATTTGCATGCGGAAGGTGCAAATTATTCGATCTGTGTATAATGCAGACACAAGGATTACATTAAAATGCCGCGATAAAAGAAAAGTTATACGATGATGGCTTCCAAGCGGCTTCGCGAAGATACACATGTTTTGTTCCCGCGTGAAAAATGAAGGAAACACGCGTATGTATATACAATTCACGAAGACGCAAGTATTTTTTATTTTTCTCTATATGCATGGTTTTTTTAATTAAAATGACGTTACTTATTGCACGAGCTATTTTTTTTGCGAAAACGCTCATGCGCTCGCAGGTAGTAAATAACCTTTTCTTGTTCATATTTTAACTACTTAAAGTTGCTCTTTTTTGAACGTCAAAACAGGGTCATTTATAGCACACGCAAATGCATTATCCTTATTCATGTCTTACCACACAATCCTCGTGCGCGTAGATGAAGCCAAACGCGTTTGTTATCCATCCGGTGGAGAATTCCATGGAACGCCCATGGAAATATCCGATCGTTAATTTTTTCTACCGGGAAAACCAAGGGAAGGGTGATCGAACTTTCGAAGGACGTCATGAGAGGAGGAGTTCTCGAAGCGAAGCCGAAGGACGATTTTTGCCGCCATTAAATCATGGTCACTGGATTGCGGTGATTTACTACTGTGCATACGAGAAGGAGGGAGAGCGAGAGAGAGAGAAAGAAGAAAATCGCCTGCGGCCGTTAATACATTTGTCCATTGTTGCATATCGCGTCTGTTGTGTGCAACACGAGGTCGTTTCCGACTCGATCGCGATCGTCTCTGGAAAGAATTAATCGCAGACGACGGAAATTTGAATCTGCGCAGCTTCGATATCGCTTCGTATCGAAACGTGCCGTATTTTCGGTATTGTACCGTCTAGCGATAAATCTAAATATTTTTACGCTGCTACATCGTAATTTCAGAAGTTTTTTTGCTATATTTCTCATCAATTTGTTCGATACAATCAAAAAGGCTGAAAAAACGAATAAAATAACGTCGCGTCCTTTCGACAAAAGATTGAAACTTCGAGGTCACTCCCGCGGGGATCGTTTTGATGTTCCTTTACAGACACGAGGACGACTAATTGGCTACTGATGAGTTCACCCTTTCCTACGTTACTCATTTGCCTCTCTTACGTCTACCTCGTCAAGGTGCTCGGGCCGAAGCTTATGGAGAATCGGAAACCCTTCCAGCTTAACAACACCTTGGTAGTCTACAACCTGTTACAAGTGATCTTCTCCGCATGGCTTTTCTACGAGGTGAGAACCTGTCCGATTGTTCTTCCGCGATATCGATCGTTCAACGCCGGTTGAATTGGATATCTGAAAAAAAAATTTTCCGATGAATTTTTTAGGAGACATAAAAAGTCGGATTGTGTTCCTGTTTTATTTCAGCCGTTCCTCGATTCGCCGATCATTAATCGAAGCAAATATTTTGTTTTTACTGTAATACAACGTTTTAGAATTTCAGAGCGAAGCTTGCAACAAATATTTAGACGAATATTTGGATTTTCTTTATTTTTCTTTTCGAGGAAACTTCTTTTTTTTTTTATATTGTATTTCGTATTTCGTATAATTTGACACAGAATTGCATAAAATCTTTTATGATATATTCCAGACTTTCTCTCGAGTGCCGAAAATAAGTCATAATTATCTGCGCACAATTTCGCCGAATTCCTGTTCCTTTTTGTTTATGTTTGACTCGAAAATTCATTAGCTAATTCCAAATTAGCTTTCAAACTCATTATCGAGCTCACGCTCGGTTTGGCGGCACGGCATTCGTCGCGACACGGTCGAAAACGGATGATTATGGTCTTAGGGTACGATACGCTGCTATTTACAGTTGCGCGATCTAGCAATTCCGTGACTTTTACCGCCGGTAACCACCGGAACGCGCGTCCAACGAAAACTTTCTATCTTAACAGTCGCGATTACGTTCGATTACGTCGCTAACGAATACGTTTGTCATTGGTGCAAATTCCCCGGCTGAGCTTATATCTCGTGATTGCAAAAAAGGGGAACGATCAAGGACCCTTCGACTCTTTAGATGTGATTATCAGAATTTGCAAGGGTGTATCGTTACATCGCACTGTCGAAAACATGTTACACTGTCGTTACATTACTTGCCGCGACAAGAATTGAGCGACGAGAATGCGCTTGTAACTCCAATGACTGATCTCGTGCCACGGAAACGCACCAATGGCAAAGATGTGCGAAGCACGATTGTACGTTTCTTTCGCAACGCAGTGTCTGATGGGCGGATGGTGGGACCAGTATAGTTTCCGCTGCCAGCCGGTGGATTATTCCAACAGCCCTACCGCGATAAGGGTAAGTAATCGGTCTAATCCTAGCCGGACTGTTCAACTGCCTCCCAACTATCTCAACGAGACGCCAATCGCAACAGAAATCACCGAATCGCATCGAGACCGCTGATATCATGGACGAAAGATATTCATTTATAAATACGTTATTTTTGTAGATAGGCTACTCCTTTTCCGGAGCGGAGGCTTGCGGCGCGGCGGGGGCGAATGTGGCGCGGAGATGATTTAGGCGCGGAAGAGCTTACGCTTTCCTCTTCATCTCGCATTAGAGAGCCTGGCATGTCCCATGTTCCTCGAGCGCCTCGATCAAATTTTTCACCGCTTCGATATCCGCTATTTCGGCTCTCGGTAGAGTAGTCGAACGTTAATCGGCTGAGTGTTGAACGCATGTCGCACCCCCATCGGCAATTGAGAATCGCAATTGTAGATTTCGCACATTTTTCGCACATTTTTCAGTCTCCACTGATTTATCCTTCAACCGGAGGAATCTAAATTCATCCTGTTTCTTCGCGTTTCTTTCGCGGGCCAAAGCAAGCCCCTTTTCTTTCACCCGGCTGCGACTCTTTTTCCTGTTGTAGGTGCGAGACGCGGCATCGCTCGACATTCGTGGAGAATGCGACACGATATCTTAAGTAGTGCGAAAGTAGTTGATAAGCTTGTGCGCAATATACATCTGCTGTATTATGCCTATTTTCTGTATCTATTCATTGATCGATGGCGAATGGCCTCTGGGCGAATGTGGTTGCAGATAGGGATATCCGGATGGCTGACTGGAAACTATTCTCTAAGATGTCAACCTGTAGACTACAGCGACAGACCTGAAGTACTGAGGGTGGGTGATCTTCCGTGATTAACAGTTGCCCCTGCCTTGATCTCTTTCTGTTCGCGTTTGTATATCTAACTTTATTGAAATGCTTCACAAAACCGGTCAATTAATTACAAGTTTGACCGAAACGAGAAAAGTAATTTTTTGATGAACCTTATTAGATGATGTTGATTCGCGTTAGATTAACATTGTATACTTTATATATACGATTCTCGGAATATTTTTCCCATTGTAAATTAATAAACTGTTACCGATTGAAAAATTATTCCAAGAACCTGCGATCTTGTAGCTCGATAATGACCGGTTCTGTACAATGTACATAGTAGGCCGTACAATACCATACGTTAAAAGAAGAGGCAAAGTAGCTTAGTACGTAGAGTGCGCGATAGAACGACTCTAACTGTGTGATTAACACTGTTTAACACACGCTGTGTATCATTGTGCCTTAGAAACGGTAACGACCGTGAAGCTACGTAGACTCGCCCATTTACGCGCTATCGCGTCACATTAATTTCTGTCATCGTATCCATATGTACTGTGACGCACGCCGATGTTAATGACGATTTTCACGGACTCCTCAACGTCTCGAATACACCACCGTGACACAAATTAATGTGTGCACTCGCGAAATGCTTTAATATTCTTGTAAAAACTGGTTTTCAAAAACACTTAATAATTGCGTTTATTTTGTGTCTCACCCACTAGCGGATCCTGACGTCGATGATGGGAGGGGTTTCGGCAAAATTATTTGCTTTCATATTTTTCTTAGTCATCGCGCTTAGCTTTTACTTCAGGATCAACGAGAACTTTTGATCCTGCTTTAATGCTTAATGCATTTTTTTCTTAGATTTTTCTTAAAACAGATCCAATAAAACCGATTTCTTTTATTTGAAAGAAGGATTTTAACCCTAATCCTCCACCTAGGATCCGCCAGTGGTCTCACCCATTATTCTGTTTACGTTAACGAGACGCACGTAAGCGAATTCGCTTGTAAATTGCTGTATCAATGCAACATGCACATTCCTTCTCCCTTTCTCTTCCTTCCTTTCCTCTCTTTTTCTCTCTTTCTCTCTCTTTTCCTGTTTAATTGAACTAATTTTTAATTCACTTGCAATCATAATATGTAAAAAAAAGTGATTAAAACTGTTTAAGTGTGTAACAGAGATCGAAGGCAAGAATCCTGAACTTCGACAGAAATGTAAGAGTATCTCACACACATGTTCAAGATAAAATTTTTCGAGTAGAGTAAATTCAAAGAAAATTTCATACATAAAACCGACTCGATCAAAGTGATTAAAAAGCTTCTTCTAATCGATATTTCGAAATCGCAGATGGTCCATGCAAGCTGGTGGTATTACTTCTCGAAATTTACCGAATTCATGGACACGGTACGTATATAGTGATCTAATTGTAAACGTTCCCTTTTACCGGGACGCGCAATTATATTTCACGGGTCTAATCGCGCGCATCTCCTTCCAGATCTTTTTCGTGCTAAGAAAGAAGAATAATCACGTGTCTACGCTGCATGTGATTCACCACGGTTGCATGCCCATGTCGGTCTGGTTCGGTGTCAAGTTCACGCCAGGTAGGTAGAAAATTGTTTATGTAATTCCTTACATATTGATACGTATGATTCCTACGTTGCAGAAATTTGACCGATTTTGCAAAACTAATTTGTGTCAATGTCGCGAGCCCTCAACTAAGAGTTTTTCTTATATATTTGTATATATTCAGGTAGCGAGTTGACGTTGTCATCATTTTAATGTTAAAATGTCGTCAAAAACATCATTTTGACATCAAAATGACAATAAATAACACTGGCTTGCTATCTAAGCATATATGGACCAACTGTTACGAAAACGGCCATGGTGATCAATTTCTTGAGAAATGCAAAAGAATTATTTTTCTTGTTTTCTCACATGTATATCATTATTTTAGAACCTGATCGGCACATTTGGAATTTAAATATGTGCTTTTCGAGAACTTGATAATAATCTTTCTTGCGAAAACGCGGACACATGTTATTTTAGCAATTATTAGCTAAAAGCTATATATCGTACAAAGATACGATATATAGCTTTTAGCTGTCGATTATGGGAAACAACTTGTAATTAATACTCTTGATGACTCATATCCTTGTGACCCCGCGTATGTAATTTTGAGAATGCAGTATTTGTCGTTTTTTACGTCAAGCCTTCGATGATCGGAAATGAGCGAACTGCGAGCAATTTCATGCTAATTTCTGTTGATGATCTTTCAGGCGGCCACTCGACCTTCTTCGGTTTGTTGAACACCTTCGTCCACATCGTGATGTACACATATTATCTTCTGGCGGCGATGGGTCCAAAGGTGCAGCCGTACCTCTGGTGGAAGAAGTATCTGACCGCCTTCCAGATGCTGCAGTTCATCGCCATCATGGTCCACGCTTTCCAGTTGCTCTTCATCGAGTGCAACTACCCGAAGGCGTTCGTCTGGTGGATCGGCCTGCATGCCGTCATGTTCCTCTTCCTGTTCAAGGAGTTCTACCAGCAGAGCTATCAGCAGAAGAAACCCAGAAAGGTGGCGATGACCAACGGTGTTGTCAAGGGGGAACAATCAAAGGGCAAACACGCGAACGGTGTTGCGAACGGCGCCGCGAATGGAACCGCGAACGGCGTCGCGAACGGCGTCGTCAACGGCACCGCAAACGGCGTCGCCAACGGCGTTGCAAACGGCTTCTCGCCCAGGAGGAGGGATGCCGCCGATTATTACGTGAAAGGCGAAAGCCTAGCGACGGAGCTCAATCTCCGAAAATCGTTTGCAACGAAATTCGAGTAACCCTCGAGCGAGCGCATAGCCTAGTCGATCTTCTCTCGCCACGACGTCGTGTTTTTCTTTTTCTTCCGCGAAATCGCCGAAGGATTAGTGGGCCTTCGTCCCTCTGTCTTTCTCTCTTTCTTTCTCTCTCTCTTTCTCTCTCTCTCTCTCTCTCTCTCTCTCTGTCTCTCTCTTCCCTTGTCTTTAATTTGCCGTATCTAAACACGAAGGGTTGAAGGCCCCGCCGAGATCGACGCATCTATCGAAAAAAAAAAAAGAGTACAAAATTACGTCGCACGTATTCGGCTCGCGGTGTGAAGCGTACGTCGATGCACTTCATTGATGATGCGATACTTCACGAGCGCGACGATTCTCCAGCTAGATCCGAGCAGCCGTGCGCGACCGTGGTCCGGCGACTGACGCAAAAGGATGCTCGGGCAGATCGTGTCCAGGTGCTCCCGCGATCGTAATCGAAGCCGGGGAAAAATAGATATTATCGAGTTGACCGTTCTCAAACATTCAGTGCGGGAGCAGAAAAGATACGATCGCGCCGGTGTGCCTTGGGAAGATAGGCGTGCCTTTTGCTCAATACTTAAAGCTCAAAAGCATCGGTTCGAAATGCCAGTAACCGACCTCTGTGATCGTGCGTACGTCGACTCGCGAGAGGGTCTCTCGACATCCCCCTTTCTTCGCGTGTCCAGTAGCCGCCACGCCGACGTTCGGTCCCGGCGTCGCGACGCCTTCCACACCGCGGATTTGCCGATGCTCGTTGCGGATGCTCGCCGTCTCGGTTGTACTATAACGCGTGAACGTGCGCGCGAAGCGTGCAAGGGTTTCGCGTTCGCGATCGTTAGCTCCTTCAGCTGAGAGATTGAACATCGAGAATCTCCCTCCGCTCGGCAGTCAAACCATCTCCGAAGAAACCTCGGATCGAGAGATTTAAATGGACAGCATATTATTTAGGATAAAATAACGAGTTCGAAGTTTAAAGTGACAAAAGATGAACGAATTAAAAAAGACAGATACTCATCTTGCAAAATTGCGGACAAAAATGTAGATATGCTAATTGCCTGTTTTTTAACTTCCTGCTTTTAATTACCGTCTACTTATTATTAACTATGACTATTGTTATTAAGTACTGTCGAGCTTTTATATTCTTCCCGAAGCTGAAGTCGATTGAAACCGCGACGGTCGCAACGTTATCTGTCTCGCTCGCTTTGTGCGCGTCTTGTATGTAATACATAGCGTCTTGTACATAGGTAGGCTAGTTTTATATACTACTAAAGAAGAGTCCGAGGAGTGCGACGGCCGTGCCACACTTCGAGGCAATTTAAAAAAAAAAAAAAAATTAAGTTCGAGGGCTAATTTATATAAATCCACATGTGCATATATATAAGAAACGGAAGCTATATGAATAAAATCGCTCGTTGGGGTGCATGACCCTTATAGTTGCGGCTACGTACATAAGGAAAAAGAAAAGTCCAAAGGGCGCCTTGAATTTTCGACTTCTTGGGATCTCGATCCGATTACTGCCCTTCTCACTTATACATTCTTGAGTCTTGCGATTCGAGTAATTGCAGCGAGCGTAATTGAAGAGCTTGTTTCCTCGCGATAGACAAAGAATATACTTTCGTAGCTTAACAATGGAAGAGAAATTATTGTCGAAAGAATTGAACTCGAACTGGTAACGAGCTCTTCGACTGCGATCTGTCATGTGCGTGATCTGCAATAATTGATACGTATACCATACGCGAGCGTTCGTGAAATCTATGTAAAAAAAAATTCGGAATTCCGTGAATTAGGAATATTTCAACTCGAAAAATTGGAGCCGTCGATTTTTTTGTTAAATACGGCTGATTTTTTTGTTAAATATCGATTAATATACGATCACTGGAACGATGAAAAATGTTAAATGCCCGCGTATGGTACAAAAGAAATACGCGGACAATCCAACGAATTTTTTCTTCCACTCGGTCGAGAACTTGAAGTTGTTTTGTTGCAAGTGACTCGCCGAAGTGGGGTGCCAAAAGCGAATTACGGGCGTGCGCTGCCAATCTCGATAGGTAGCGATATATGAAAATTCCAAGTGCTCTTACATCGAGAGAATTTTTACGTCGTACTGTAACCGAAATTTATTAATCACACAATTCGGTTTTAACATTTTTTTTTATTAAGCGGTATCCATAATTAATGTAGAGAATCTAAGCCGATTTTTAGTACTTTTTGAATTAAAAAAAAAAAACTTAAATTTGAGAAAGTTATAGCTTGCTAAAGTTTCTTTGATGACGGCAACTTCAAAAGGTATGACGTCATTTCTTATATAAGATATGACGTCACAGCACAGTACTATATTTTCTTCAATTTTGAAGATATTGCAAAAATTCAAAAAATTTACAAAGAAAGTATGCCGTGATCAGACCGCTTAATAAAAAAAAAAATTATTTTAAAACCGAATTGGTTAACGTGTATTACGTGATGTATTTTTGCGAAAAATATAAGTTTATTTACTATGCCTGTGTACTTTGAATTATTGCTCCTGCGGTTTAGTAGTAGTAGTAGTAGTAGTAGTAGTAAAGTTTATTTCCAATTCCAGAGAATTTCAGAAATGGCGTTTTATAGGGACGTACCCAACCCTTCCTGCGGTTTAGTATAAAAGTATATATATATACTTTACATATATATATATATATATATATATATATATATAATATGTAAGTATCGGATAACTATTATCGGATAAATTATTTCGCGAAAAGCGAAATAATTTTTTATACTAAATGATATATTTGTTAAATATATCTAAGCTTGATGCTAGTTAACGTAATGTGTATTTGTACATACATCATCTGTTTCACGAATTTGAAATCACATTATTGCTAAGATGTTTAGTGTTTATTCGCGAAATGACAGTGCATGAAAATTCAACGGGTTTTTATATGAGACATCTGTTTCAACATTAACGAATGCTTTACATTTGTCGCACATACTGCACAATGAAAACGTGTATTCAGATAGAAAACGTTACGTACTTAGGCTGCATTCCGAAATTCACTGTCAGCAACTTTCAGTACTGAAAATCTATAGTATACGTGACGTAAAATATAGATTTGCAGTACTAACAGTGAATATCGGAATGCAGCCTTAGTAATATACTTCGTACAAAGTACAGAATTGACGATTGTTTTCCGCTCAAGAAAAAAAAAACGCAGTAGACGTAATATTTTTTCAGAATCTGCAAAATTTATTTGTCGAATTAAATTTCTAATTCTTTGAACACGTAACAATATAATATAAATGAACGGCGACAGACTACAATATATAGATCACTTGCTATTTTGTATCATGTATAATAATAAATTGTAACGCTGCAACCAATCCTTAAAGGATACACCATCCACGGTCGTTTCGTCGAGTGCCATTGCTTCTTGTACATCTTGGTTCGCCCTAAAAACATGATTATAGTTAAAATAACTGTAACGTTAGATTATCTTGACAGTTTAACTTACCAAGCACTCAGGACGGCGTCAAAGCGCTTGATCTCCTCGCGCGCCTGATCGCAAACGACTGTGGCGAGATTCAGCAGCTCCAAACTATTGTAATTACACTTTTCTCGTGACGGCATTAACTTATCTGCGCACTCAATCTCCTCAGTTGACGACGAACAGTGCAGTTTCGTGTAAACTATATTGGTAATTGCATTTTTATAGCATTCTATGAGGGAGTATATCGGTATTTGTATTATTGGGAAGTAAGGCTTGATCCTCGAGCACTGCGGATTGACTGAGGTGATGAAGACTTTGTCGAGGCCACAGATTGCGTGTCTGCGAAAAAATTTATTCATTATATATTAGCTTTACGATAATAATGTAAAATTTAACGTGAAAAATTTTTATACCAACCTGTATAGTCCCACATCTCCCTTCAACATTACTTTTCGTAAAGCATTGAGATCCAAGATATTATAAAACATATCCAGTTCGATGTCCAACGCATTCTTCACGCATTTCGCGTCGTAATTGTCGACCTGTAACGCCATTATTTTCTGCAATTCGTGATGCAGCTTCTCTTTCTCTTTAAATATGAGCGTCGGCGTAGAGTTTAAAACTGCTATAGATCGCTGAATGTCTTTTATATATTTATCCTGCAATACGTTCGATATCAGTATCAAGGGTATGTAGAGTGTGGAATATGTACCAATACGTACCATCTGTGCGTCAATCGTCTCTATGTCGGACGTTAATCGAGCTATGTCGAGATTGAGCAAGGAATTTTCCTGGATAGTGTTCTTCAACTTCTGAACTTCGTTTTGCCGATACGACTGTTCGGCTTCTAACTTTCTCACCTCCAATTTCAGAGCTAACCACGCGTTCACATCTTCATGGGCTAACGACTGCAAGACAAAGTGTGCATTAATCTTAATTTCATTTTTCTGTCAATCATCTTTTCTCATAGTTTGAAATCTTTTCACGGTACCTCTATTAGATCAATGAATTCCACTAAGCGTTGTTGGTACATGTTAGCTCTAATATTAGACGATATGCCTTTCGAAATATTGCATATGTATTGACCGCAAGCTCTTGCGATACCAATATCTATATTTTCGCCCACTACACTCGAACTGCCCAAGTCACTTTTGGTCTCCAATTTCATTAATGTGTCTAAATCTTGCGACAGCGTTTGATACAAGTGTGTCCACAGCGGGTGTACGCCAATACCACTGAGAGAGCTCGATACCTTTGTCCATATCTGTTATTGGAAAATGTCACTTTGTCAATACTATTTTACATGCAAATATTATTTTATATCCTATAAAAAAGATTTACCTGTTTCTTATCTATGGCTGAACGACGCAGATCTGTTATCATATGTAGATTCTCCCTTAATTTCTGTTGATCTATGTCCATAGAGGTGTTTGGCATTAAATGCTGGCACACTCGTCTCATGTCGCCGCAATCTTTCAGTTGCTTGCTGGTTTCGCTGTGTTTTAATTTGAGAAAATCCTTCCTCGTACTGGTTACCGAACACTTGGTCTTTATATCCTTCAATCGTTGCACTAACAATTTTATGGAACTTATTAAAACTGTATTGAAACATTCATATCAACATCTTTTCACCTTACTTTTTTGCCTGACAGTATAGTCCTGTTCTTCGTATTCTTCTTCCAGCGCAGATATCTGTTGTTTCAATGTGCTGCTTTTAGATCTCAGTTGATTCAACTCTCTCATAGATGAAATTGCAGAGTCGTTCAACCCATGCTTCAGTTTGTACAGTAAAATGTTCTTTCTTATTTTACAGGCTTGGGCCGCAGGAAACACAGAATTGGAAATGTCCTCCCATAACAACTCCAATACTCCCTTGCACAATCTGATAAAAAGAAAAAAATTGGCAAGTCGATAACATGGCAAGCTCCAGTAAATAGATACAAAGTAATGGATACACAAGTAAGACGAACTTTTTCTTTACTGAATCATTGTATATTGTCGACGGACACTCGAGCTGGCGAGTCCACGCAAAATTATCTGCATCCTCGTTCATAATGATTCCGTTCCTGGTTAAGAAAATACAATGAATATGCAAACGTTCCAATGGCCCAACATATTTTTATCTAACAGTAAAAGATACTATAAATATATAAAAGTATCTAAATAAAAGCCGGAGAGGTTATTTATTCGAAAACAGTCTTTTAACTTGCAAAAATTACAATCTTATAAACACTCTGATTTCATGTAGATATATCTACATATTTCTTTTAAAAACTTCAAATATACATAGAGTAAGCTATTCATTAATTTATGACAATTCACAAAAATTAAATCCGTCTTGAGAACATGTATAGGATTAATTGTCGCGCGATCGCTACGAAAGGAGAGAAGCAATATTATTTATACCGGTCAATTTTCTTGTCGTTTAATCCCAGTTGATCCCAGTTGACAGTGCTCGTAAACAGCGTGTTGTTCTCCCTTGTGTGATCGTAACGTATATGAACCCCTTTTGTCCTTTAGGTCCGTTTGTTTTACTTGCACTTCCTAGCGCTTTCTGCATCTGAAATAGGACGGACGTATATTTGGGCGTTGGGGAGAGAGAGAAAACGAGACAACTCGAGTGTGGCAGGTGCAAGTAAACTGTACATAGGCTGCGTTCAGCAGACACAACTGTTGAGTTCGTCTTATCAATACTCTGCGTTGATTGGTTGGTTCCAAAAGTAAGAGCCAATCACGTTCGACTGCTACTGACAATGAGCGGCTTGGTCTGCTGAACGCGCCCATACATAAGCAGAGAGGCTACGTTCCGCGCCGGCGCGGCGGCCGGCGGCGAGAGCGCCGAGAGCGGCCGAACGTGATTCGGGCGGATTCGGGGGGATTCGCGGACCCGACTCGCCGCGCGGCGGCGAGTGCGGCCAAACGTGACTCGGCCGGATTCGGAGGCTCTCGGCTCGCCTCGCCGTGCGGCGCGCGCGCATCCGCGCAAGTAATACGTTACTCGTTGAACGTCGGTGTACGAGGCAGGAGGCACGAGGTGCGAGGTACGAATCCGTGCTCTCTTCCGTTTGTGCCGTGCTAAGTGTTAAGGAGAAAGTCGAGCCGGCCGTTCGTGGCAATCATATTATCGGGAGTGCCGAAAGTAATTGCGCGAAGTCCGTAATAGTTTCATCGCGAGCCGCACCCGCTCGAGTGGTCGGTATCGGTGGTCGCCGCGTGAAACATCTCAGATACTTATAGCTTTTCCGTTCACGTGAACGGAGAGTGAGCCGAGTTTTCTTCGCGCGCGTACCCGGTCGATTGGATTCCGCGCGCGAATTCCGGAAAGTTGAGTGTGCTCAGTGCATCCGTGCAAAGGGTTGCATCATGCGCCCAAGTTTCGTCGTGATCTGTACCCGCTCGATTGATCGTCGCGCGAAACATCTCTTTTCTCGAGTTTTCGTCGCCCGTAATACGACGGGACGATGCACACAGACGGATCACGTGATCACCGCGTGCGGTAGCGTGATCCTTGGCGAAAGACCCGTGTCCCGAAACCGTCCCACGACGCGAATCCGGTTTTCGCGAGTGCCTCTATCTCGAGCGTCGCGATCACCGAGCGTGAGAGTTGTCGGATCATTTCTCATAAAATCAACGCCGGGAGCCGGGAGTTCGATCCTGATATCGATCCCGCTCGCGGCCATCTTGTCGTGCCACGCCGGTTTCCCGAAAGTCTTTCTTGGTGGCTTGCCAAGTAACGTGACGGAGACTGACTTAACATTCTATTTTATTCGCTTTGGTAAAGTCATGGAAGTAGTCATAATGTATGATCAGGAGAAGAAGAAATCGAGAGGTGAGTACGAGTGATTTCATATGTATGTCAATCAGAGACTCGAATTTCAGTTCGGTTCCTTAATAAAACTTTAATTAATTGTTCCAGTTTCAGTTTCGGTTTCTTAGTAAAGAAAACCGAAACCGTTAAAATTACGGTCTTTTTTGGTTATAGTTATTCGCGCGGAGGAGAGAGGTCTAAAATTTAAATACTAAATTTCACGTAATTAGACATTTTTCTCTGACAAATTAGTAATTTTTTAAGCAATGAATTATTTACTTTTGCTTAAATATTAATTTTTACGTAATTAGTATTTTTTTACTAATTACCAATTTGTTAATTAAATAAAAATTTAATTGGTTGTTAAGGCTGATTTATGCTGGTCGTAACCGCTGATTTAAGCCGTAATCCCTAAGAACTTTCCAAAAGATATTGCCGTGCAAGTTTTTATACTCTTTGATTGCTGCTGAACGCATTTCCTCTCATGAGTTTAAATTTCCGAATATTGCATAGGCATAATTTGATGAATAGTCATTAATTGCAAAATTCAATGCTTGACTAAATTTTTTTGAGTACTTCATTTTGATGCATAGTACGAACCAAAGATACCTGAAAAATATCATTCAGCATCTTTACTTTGTTTTTTGTGTATTTTTTTTATCGCTGTTAAATGTTCAAATATTTGTATAAGCATAATTTGCTGGTCAGTCGTTAAGTGCAAAATTTAGTGCTTTATCAAATTTTTTGGAGTACTTCAGTTTCGTGCACAGTACGTACCAAAGATACCTGTAAAATACGTTTTATTAAAATTTTATTCAGATAAAATAAAAAGATGGGGGAAAAAAAATTACCGTATATCATCGCTTCTACGCTTTATCGCTTTTCATTTTTAATTGCTTTGCAGTCAGTCGAATTTGCCATATGGTGGAATAACTAGTTACACTTGAATAAATAACACAGTAGCGCGATCAGACGGAATAGAAATGTTTTGCATCGACGATATGTTCAGATATTTTCGAGCGAAACGTAATTTTACGTTTCTTAGGATATTTGAAATGGATCACGCCGTATGCGATAAACTGTCGTTTAAATCGGCGAAACAGAACAGAGTGTCTTTGTAGGGACACACTCTGTATATGAACATATGTACACGTGCATTATATGTATATGAACATATGCTCTCGGTGTTATTTATATTTTCATTTGACCGAAAGTGAATAATAAAAAATTATAAACTTTACGATACATATACCTATATGTACTACTGATATTTACAATATAAAATGTACATATCTACATATGGAGGGGTAAAAACTACAGTGGTGTAAGTCAACATTTTTAAAATATTTTCCGGTGTGCATAGATGCAATCTGTACAATATATAAATTACATCTATGCACACGAGAAAATATTTTAAAAAATTTGACTTACACCACTGTGGTTTTTATCCTTCCATATATGTACTGTTTGTACATATATTTCTAATATAAAGTAATAAATATATTTACAGTACATTTTTTCTCAAGTGTACAAAAACAATATTACAAAATCAAAATTATGTAATTTTGAATGTTAAGAATATAAAATGAGCTTTTCCATTTCCTATTACGGGTCTATTTCTATGAGAACGCATTCAATATATTTTTTTCGTCTTTCCGATTTTAATTTACAAATGATACATATGATACACGGAAAAAAATGTACTTGTTTCAAGTGAAATTTCATTACTTTAAAGAAAAAAATTACTCCAATAGTCTCTAGCAGGAATTTACTTCTTTCATAGGAACAACTTTCTTGTTGCTAGTAAATATTTTCTGGAACGAAAGAATTATCTCTTTAAATAAAAATTATATGTTATGAAAAGAAATGAAAATTACATCAAAATAAGAAAATGAATTATTATAAATAAGAAATAAGAAAAAATATATAAATAAGAAATTATCTGCGGGGAATATTTATATTTCTTGAAACAAAAGAAATATTTCTCACGAGTAGTAATCTTATTTTATTATCTTAAGGTAATTATTATCTTAAGGTAAAGTCGTTACGGTGGGGCGCTGTCGCGACAGCTAACGCCCCTGGCGCGAGCACAAACAACCCTCGGGCTTGACCCGAATTCGCCCGAGATCACCCGATTGTCGCGCCTACTGTTCCGACATGCAGAGGTAAAACGCGCACGCGTTTCCTAATTCGCGTATACCGCGCAACGCGTTACATCGCGGATCGATGTGATTCGTCACCTAACTTCGTGGATCGACGTGATTTGTCCTTCGTGAATCGTGAGGCAACGACCCCCGCCGAGGGTTTCCTATCGGGACGAGGGATGATCGATATCGATCCGCGGACCGCGCTCTCTTCCGTTTCTATCGTGCTAAGGAGAAAGTCGAGCCGGCCGTTCGTGGCAATTATATTATCGGGAGTGCCGAAAGTAATTG